ATCTCCCAAGAACAACATCTTTTTTCATGGCCCTACTTTTGGCTTTAACAATGCAAGCAATAGTGCTTTGTTTTCTTTAGAGTCTGAACTGAAACAAGAGCTTTCAACAAAACAAAACCAAAGCAAACCTAATGAGCCAAAGAACTGCAGAGTGTTAAGGAGACTTAGCTGAAATATTTGTTAAATATCAAAAGGAACATCCTTCTTGCTGGCGAAAGGGGAACTAACACTGCAGAGATGCGTGATTATAAGACAATAAATGGGAGTATTTTCTTCTGGTGCAGTGGTCAAAGTTATTGTTTTGAATAAGCACAACTGGTGTGTAATCTTCATGGCAAGCTTCTTGAATTGGTTAAGTGCCAACACTCTTTGGAAGCTCGTGGCAGATGGGAACTTATTTAGGCTTATAAAACCAATGTAGATGAAAAAATGTAAAAAATGCCCCGTGTAAGTCCTCAGCTTGCAATTGGATAAATTATGAAGACAATGGTGCTCCTCATGCAAGAAAGGGCAACAGGAACATCTTTTTTCCATGATGCCTTTGTAAAGCTTAAGAAACAACTAATAGCATAATATCCCTGACAAACAACAACCTCTGCTGTGTCAGAAATCGCACCTTTAGTATAATGGCACTGGCATCTAGAGGGCCTCTCCTAGCTGCCAGAGAATTCCCTGGGTCTTCAGTGACTTCTAGTACAGTTTGACTGGGCGTGTTTATTGCTTAGGACTAGGTTGAGAGATTCAAAGACCTAATTAAGGACTGGCCTACTGAATGTAATACAAGGATGTCCAGTAGGTAATTGTTTTTATCACAAATTGTTGTGCAATGCAAGGTTACCATACATCCCAGTAGCAAGAAGCAGGTAATTTTTATTTCAGAATCTTATAGTGATTAGTCCTTTGACATTATCCCAAATTGTTGTGGAATGCAAGGTTACCATGAATACCAGTAGTAAGAAGCAGATACCTTTTATTTCAGAATCTGACAGTGATTAGTCCTTTGACCTTATCCCAAGAGTAAGATTTTGGGGGCTTAATTTCTGCATGTGTTACTGAGCATGCGAGATACTGACCTGTGTCTGAAGAGGGGAAAAACCTGCTAATTAATACTGTGAATACAAACTCCTCACCAAACTTGGTCAGTTCATGAATGCAACAACGTGAATATACACTGAGTGAATAACTAGCATTCATTTCCTCTAAATAGAGAGGTACAGATAGAAATCCTGGTTCATGAAAATGTTTACATGCCCTAGTTATTTACAAAGTGCCCTGCAGAATTTTTGATTCCTTGCAGTCAAAGTGACCATTATGAACTACAAACTACATACATGTGCTTACCCAGATCTTCTTGCTTCTGCTAGTCCCCGGGCACCATCTTGAAAATAAAACATTGTCAAGATTGAAGGAATTCAGTATGTTTTAATCTGTATAGTCTATTCTGCATTTAGCTTTGGGGATTTTTTATTATTTTTTAGGTAAGAGTGAGAGAAGACTACTGTGATCAGACAGTACTGTAGGATTTTGAGTACCCAACTGTGCAAATTGCACTAACTTTAATGATATGGGATACATAAAGACAAGGGCCCCCAAAAGGGTTTATTAACAAGAAAAAACAGATTATATGGTCCTATCTTTATTCAGTGGAAGGAATAAATTGCGATCACAAGGTGGAGGGAGGAGAGGTGCTATGTCATTTTGTTCTGGATGTTTTCCTTAAGGACATCATCCAGTTGTTTGCCTTGAGCATCCTGCCCTTCCCACCTTGCAGAACCCTTTCCCTGGGAAAGTGAGGTGCAAGTGAGGGATGCTTCAGTGCCTACTCTCAGCCTTCCTAGGGTTCACCTAGGGTGTATTTCTTGCTGAGTATCTATTTTTCTCTGTTCAGGTTGCTGCTGGCCCTGAGAGTAAGAGTCTGAACTTGTAGGAGTCTGAATTTGAAGCTCTTGCTATGGGTAAATGTAACCTGTTAGACACTGAGTCCCAAGCCAGCCCACCCTCAGATGTTCAGAGATGTAATAATGGACATGAAGAGAAAACTTCTGTGACTACAGTCCCTGCCAGTGTGTGAGCGGAACCATACACCCTACGTGCTGGTGCCATGAAAAATGACTGAGGGCAGTACACCCCAGGTTAAAAACAAAATAAAAATACCTCCCCCCCCCCAGTATTTGGCAAATAAATTCATCAAAGCATTCTCTGTATACTGTCAAACAGCACTGGTGCCACCATCTCAGCCTGCCTGTCTGCCCTCTAGAATACAAAACGTGGAACTTGTGGGAATAGTGAAAGTTTACCTGTAATCCCATCAGAAATGGGAGGGAAAGTATCCTGTGTGAATAAAGACTGTCTTTGCAGCCATTTCAACGATGTATAATCTCCAAGGCCACATCCTGACTGTACAGAGAGAGTTTCCATAGGCTCCTCTCTGGGATTTGTCAACAAATAGGAAGGGATGGCTGATGGGGATGGTGGCAGAATATGGGGTTTAGAATTAGTTCGCATCCAGCCCCAGTCAGCAATGACTTTGTGATAGCTAAACAATTCTTGCTTGAAAGCAGCTGGGGGCTTCTGTCTGATCCTAGTGCATCTCCAGTTTGGGAATGACTGTCCTGAGGTCACGGATCCAAGAGAAAGACTGAGGAAGAAGACAGCATCATCCCTTCATCCTGCTTGTCTGCAACAGGGGCACATGGGAAGGGAGATGGAAGAGACATGCTATTGCATTTTGATGCCACTTGCTTCCTGAATTAACAGAAAGATCTCACTGTGATAAAAGAAAAATATGCATGCTATTGAAAAAACTCAGACTCATCAAAACAGAAAAGTTAAGTTCATAGCTCTGGTCTGTATTTATTTAGATGATAGTTGAGGTCAGTCATTTTCTCCAGTGTAATTTGTCTATCCCTGCTGTGTCACCACTTAGCCTAACCCTTTTTCAGGGGCAAAAGACGGTTTCCTCCGGGTCTGATTAATGCTCTTCCTAGATGAGCTAGTTCAGGCAGTAAAGACAGTTTTATCTGTTATTTATGTTGGAACTTTCTTAGGAAAAGCGGTCCTTGCTGCACTCTCCCCTGCTCCCTTCCTTGGTTTATAAGCCATGCCCAGTTTCCTTTGAATCAGCTTGGTGTTATTGCTAACCATATCTGCTCATCAGTTCATCAGGGCAGCAGGGCTGAATGAAAAGTGCTCCAGGGAGGAGGTATGCCTTTGCTCCAGGCCCAGGCTAGTTTTCCTTTTTTCGTGTGTTTGGCCAATTCTGCAGTTCTAGGTGAGACTGGAAATGTCTCTGTGCCTTGGGCCTCTGTTTTGACTCTCCAAATGAGGACCTAGCTGCATTCTGGCCCATTGCGTAGAAAAGCTACAAGTCAGTTGCGCGGTTTTGTTACTATTTCTCTATTCTTTTCTATATTCTCTTTATGAAAAGAAACACTCTTTTTTTTTTTTTTTCATTTTGCTTTCTTCAGGTTTGATTTTTTTTTTTACACTTCAACTGAAATTTCATCTTTTTCTTCTTTGGAGTAATTTTCCAACTTGAGTCAGTGATTATTTCTTCCTTTCTAACCCAACATCTTCACTGTCCCTTTTCTCTCTCATCTTCACAAAACAGTCTATGAGACCAAGTAAGGGCTTTATCACCCTAGTGAGTAATTAATCTCATCTGACTCTAACTCAATACAGGATCATCAAAAAGTCTGTGTGTTTTGGGTCACTAATAAAACAAAACATTTTTCTACTTTTATATTTTAGACATTTCAAAAGGTTTTGCAATTAATAATAAACAATACTTAGTGCTGGCTGGCCATTTTACATTGAAAAATCTTTCCCATGGGAAAATGCTGATTTGTTATTTTTGTAGGAATTATCTATTTCAGATACCTTTATTTTCATTTTTCTGTGTTTTGGTCAATTAAAAAAAAAACAAAACAGGCTAGTTGGGCATGACATCTTTATTTTACAGAACTTTCATGCCAAAGCAATTGTTCTTTATTCTCTGAATTTCATCAAGAAGTAGAACATCAAGGAGTCCTATGAGAAAAATATCATGTTGATATTTTAATGGAAGCTGATGAAAATGCACCTAAGACTTCAGCAGGTTTTCTAGTTTCTGAAAGGAAGCCTTGCTCTCACGGGTAGGGGAGATCAACTGCTGATAAAAGCTGTAAGAAAAAACAACACTGAAGTGACAGAGAGAATGTAGAGCACAAGACACACGGGTGGTGAGCTTCTGCGGAGGGTTAGCTACCCAAAGGCCAAATCAAAAGCCCCTTCATAGCACGACTGTGACCTGTGGTGTCAGTAAGGCCAAGCCCTATTTTAAGCTTTCCCTGTAAACAGATTAAGTCCCTAGTCATGATTCCTACATCACCTGGATGCAGGGCTGAGAGGTAAATGACCACTCTGGCTCCTTGGGGCTCTCTTCCAGAGGCAGCAAAAAAACGTCTCTTCTTTTGGGCTGCAACAACTTCATCAAAGCATTTATGAAGCTCTGAAAAACATATCCTAAAACTTCTCCTCCTCACTCCCAACTGATGAAAACATTGGAGCAGCCACCCTGGTGGGACTAAGGGTTCTTCTAATGCCGTGTCTTGCTTTTGCAGCAGGGGCTGAGAGGAGGACATACAGGAGAGTGAGGCAAATCCCAGCCTTTACCCCTTCGGATGAGGGGCTTCCCCGGTAAAAAAGGGGATTTTCGTGACAACAGGGACCAGCCTCTGGCACGACGGCTGGGGGAAGGCTCGGTGGGTTATTACTGTTCCAGGGGTGATACCTGACAATAAGGAATGATGCAGGAATCGGAGGAGCAGAGGGCGGACAAGGCGAAACGGGAGCTCGGACCCTGCCAGGCGGTGGAGCCGGCGCGGGGTGCGCAGCGCTCAGCGACGCGGCGGCGGCGCCGCCTTACTGGGCCGCAGCCGGTACCCGCCCCAGCCCCCCCCGAGCCCTGCCGCCCCTCTCGGCTCCCCCTGCCCGCCTGCGGGGCGGAGGCGGCGGCGCGGGGCCGGTCCGGGGCGGAGCCGCTGCTCGGCGGGGTGGGTGCAGCAGGGTCGGCGCGTCTCGCTGCCGCCCGTCTGAGCCGGCTTTTCGGCGGGAGCCTCTACTCCAGAGTGCGCGGTAGCGTGGGCCGTCCGCGGGCCCCATGTGGTGCCGACATCACTGACATGGCGGAATCCCCGCCGAGCCCTCCTGGCACTCGCTCTAGCTAGCCGGGACTCACCACCGCGCCCGGCCCGGCTCGGCGTCCTGCACCAGCCCTCCGCCAGGTAAGGACGCGGTGGCAGACGGGGGACCTGAGCGGGGAGCCCAGCGGTTCGGGTCGTCTCGACTCGGAGCTGCTCTCGGTTCGCAACCCAGAAGAGCCGTGTCGCTCCCCCCCCGAGGCGCCGCTCCCGGTCCCGGCTCTTTTGTTCGGCGGCGGGGCGGGATCGCGGGGCGGCGACGGGACGCGGCCGCACTTGGCGGAAAGTTTTTCTCGCTGCCGCCCCCTCCTCTCGCTGCGCTCCTCGCCCGGCCCGTCTCGCCCCGGGGGCCCCGCCGGCTCTGCGCCTCCGCGGGTAGCTCTCAGGCGGACGGCGCGGTGCGGGCACGCGGAAGCAGCCCCGCCGTGGCCCTGCGAGGAGCTGGCGGCCGGACAGGCCCTCCAGCGCCGCCCGGTAATCCCTAGGGGCTGCCGGACAGGGCGCTGTCATCGCCTCTGTCCGGCCGCCCGCCCCTCCCCTGCGTCCCGCGGCGGGCACGGGCGGTGTGGCTCCGGGAGGGAAAGCGCGGGGAGCGGCCGGTGCTGCGTGCGGGGCTGGGGGCACGCGTGGGTGCATGCGTGGAGGCCTCCGCCCTGCCGCGGCTGACCCGCAGGAACCGCGCCCGTGGGGCGGGAGGGCGCAGGTTCGCGCCCGGGGCCCCGCTGAGCGGCCCGGAGTGCCGGGCAGGTGAGGCCAGCCGGGCCGCTCCTCGCCCGCAGCTTCCTCTCAGAACGTCTGGATCCAGGGTGCATGTTGGAGAAAAAGCTGAAGAAAGGCGCGAGCGACTTCTCCCGGCCCCGTCCTCCCCGCCCGGCTCTTGGCTGAGGCGGCTCTGGGAAGGAAAACCCTGGAAACTTTTTATTTTGCTTGCCAGACACCTTTTTAAAATGGCATGCTACCAGGAGACGGAGCGAAAAAAGAATAAGCCTTTTAAAAGCTTAATCTCGCTTAGGTTAAGACCACATCTGCATCCCTCCCCTCTGCCTTCCCCCCCTTCCCGGTTCTCAGAAATGTTCTATTTAAATAAGGTTTTGGCTATGGTGGTGTGGCCTGGAGTTAAATGTAATGAACCATTTATCCCATCTATATCTGTAAAATAAACGGTGGGGGGCAACTGTCTCTCTCCATATTAGTATTTCATTTGCATTTCTTTGTGTACTTCGAGTGCGTAAAAGTATTGGCTTGATTCCCTAAAGTGGTGGTTTCTCCATCACAGATGGGGAAACTGAGATATGGAAAAATTGAATATTCTTGTTTGGTGGGTTTTTTTGGTTATTTCAGATTTTTGTACTGCCTTTTTTTTTTTAATTATTTTTCATTTGAACTAGGTGCTAGATCTGTGGGAACAGAATTCACGTATCCTGGTTCCCTGGGCCCTGACCACATTTGCTGTATCCCCTAACCACTTAACCTGCAGAACTCAGGGCTCAACTAGTACTTTCCTGAAAGGTGCCAAACCAGTCTAACTCGAGCTTAGCAATGTGCTAGGTAATGGGATTTCAAACTTGCACACATGTTTTAACTCTAAACAGTATTTCTCAACTTTTTTTGAGAAATACTCAGCTTGCTTAAAAAAGGTTGGGACTGCTAGGCCTGCTAGCTCCTTGGTGCCTGTACTGGTTTGGAGCTCTGCTCCTTTCTGAGGGGGAGCAGCTGGTCTGGACGTGAATGATACAATGTGTGTGCTTGGTTGGAAATGCAGGCAAAGGCATCTCTTTCATAAACCTCAGGAATGGGCAGTGGGCTGCTTCCTGAGTGGAGGAATCTTGTCCCTCTCACTTGGTCCACCAGTACCCTTGTTCACCTTCTGCCTATGTGTCTCTCTGGTCGAAACACGCTGCCGGTGCTACCAGTAAGAAAATGATTCTTAGCAGTGTTCCTGGGGTCATTTCGGGTCTCACACAGAAGCGGTCTGTTAGTGCTTTTCTCTTAATCTTCACTTTGTGGTTCCCTCTCGTTAGTTTTAAAGCAGTTGTGGTTGTTATCAGGGACCTTGCCGTGACAGAAATGTCTGTTGCCCCAGGAGTATCGCATGTTGTTCTTCCCAGGTCAGCATCTTTTAGCTGGTTTATGCTCAGAGATGAGTCTGTGGAAGTTGATTTAGTTTATAATTTTTGAATTTTATTTGAACCATTGGGACTCACCTGGTTTGGGTTTGAGGTCACTGCTGGGATGGCGATGAGGGGGAGTTCTCATGCTGTTAGCTTATAGCTGGCCAAAGGACAAGAAATGAAGACAGCATCCAAAATAAGCTGATATTCTACTATAGCCAAAAGCTTAGAGGTGTAACTCCATACCGCAAGCTCTTGGAAGTCTGTAACTTCCTATCTGAAGTGTGTTTATTCTGGCACTATTTTTTTTTCCCTCTACATGTGGCATTTAGTGAGCAGAAAGTAGATTTCTGCATTGTACCTCTTTCTTAACAGAGAATTTGTGGTTTCGTTTTTTTTTTCCACTTTGTAGATTTCTTTAACTTCTCTGATGAGAAGTGCTCTGATGAGCACTTAAGGGTGGTTAAACTTCTACAATTTATAAATTATGCAAGAAAACATACAGATCATGCAACAGACTTCTGCGTGTGTGCAGTTGTATTCATGAGCTTTCTAATTAATATAATTGGCTTTTCCCTCAAAAATGCAGGTTGTTGGTCTGATGAGTGCTAGCAAGGTTTACGGTGTGAATAAATGTTTGTAGTGTGAGGATCTTAATTCCTACAAAATACAAATAATTACATAAATGTCCCATATACAGCTGAATAAAACAAACTGTGCTCCGTAGTGCTTTTCTTCTCAATGCAGTTTGCTACTCCGCTCAAAAGGAGAGACATGAGGGAAGATGGAGTGGCCTGTAGGAGCAGCAGTTTGGGATGCTCTGGGAGGGCTTCCGGGCTCTCCAGCAAGAGTGCCATGGTAGTTGGTGTTAAGACTGGAAATCAAATGTCCCAATGCAACAGAACAGTAACTTGCAGCACACTGCACAAAACCGAAGTCCCATTTGTTTGCAGTAGCCCTTAGTGTACAGCAAATAAAATAAATAGCGGAGGAAACTAGCAGCCCCTGTGTAAATCTCAGCTGTGCCAAACACCAGTGAGGCAAAGGGTTTCTCAGACGTGTTGCACAGAGGACTTGCGCCTAGGTGATCTCTGTGCTGCTGAACAGCAGCGGTTGAGGATCCTTTGGAGACAGGAATATCAAAAGTCATGTTGTTTACGGCCAAGATTTAGTGTCCATGTGTGATCTCTCCCTGGAGATGGAAGGTATGTGGGAAGAGGGAAGTTCTTCAAACAAGGCGGTGGAAATACGAGACGCTTGATACACAACGGTAACAGGCCATCTACAGGCAGGAATGTTGGTGTGTCAGCGAGCAGATAACTCCAGTTTCCAGTGGGGATGTGGTAGTTTGCATTTTTACCAATTTATTCTAAGCACCTCTTTGCAAAATTGAAGCCTCCTCTTTGTTGAATTACAGACAGCCAGGAAAAAAGCACAAACTAATTAAACATGATTTATTGTGGAATTTGTAACAGTATTGGAGAGATTAGTTGCCTTTCAGAAATGCCACTGCGGATGTTAAATCTGTGCTCTGCTCTGGATGAAAGATGACTGTGCTGTTACGCAAGCACACAAGAAAAGCATAGTCCGTGTTAAAGTCTGTTCCTGAGCGGGAATATCCCCTGAAGGTCCTAGGTAGGACAGCTTTGAGCAAATCTTCACAGCGCTTTTAATTGGGAAAGGGTGGCTTTCCTTGAGCTTAGAGATAAAAACATGCGGTTTCACCAGTGACATGCTTTCTGCATTTGATCTAAGGAATCCTTTCTTTACAAGCAAATTGTGTTGTTTGTTGGCACTTAACAGACAAAATGCTGACTACAACACCAACTGTATAAGAAACATACTTTATTTGTATTTCTAGTGGTGACAGTTTTTAATGGTGGTATATACAGAAAGTTACCATTTGGATACTCTTCTTACTAAACTGCAACTATGCATAATGTTATTCGTGTAATACGAAGTATCAAACAATTCCTAAGTAATTAAGTGTGTATTTTATATTATTTCTTGAAGAAGACAAAGATTGCAGCTAATACTGATGTGTGGCATTTGTTTCTTCTGGCATCTGCTTCTGGTTCCTCTAGAAGCTACTAAGTGGAGTGACGAGAAGGATTCAGTTTTCTGCCTTTGTGGCTTTTTTTGAGTAGTGTTTGGTTTTTGTTTTTTTTTTTTTGTTGGATTTATGATAACTGAAATGAAACATGAAGTCTCTGGAGATGAATGCAATAGACTTGTCTGATTTCTCTGTATTGACTTAGTGCATAGCTATGCTGTGGCAGCAATGCACATACCTTAAAGCATGCTTTATATATAAGTCTCTTACAATTGCCTTATACGTAACTATGGACATTTCTATTATTAGGTTCTTGCACAGGACTCTAATAATAGAAAGTGTATGCGTGAGTGTATATATATGTATTTAAACATATACTTCATGCTTTCAGGAATGTTTCATAAGCAATGTTGAGGAAAGAGACACTGCTCTCAAGAGGCTGCTAATAAAAACTTCAATAAGCAACATTTTTAGATGACCCTTGCCACCCTCAAAGATCCTTGGGATGTTGTGGACAGATTTCCCCATGCTTTTAATCTAAACTGGCAAAAAAGAATGTGTTCTGCTTAGTTTGTAGGTGGTTTTCTGGGCCTCTGTGCAGCTGTGTCAATTTTACATGGTTGCTTTCTGTTCCTTGCTCACCCGCTAATAAAATGCTAACATTTGTAATATAAATCCCCATGTTATCTTGTGCCCAAAGTATTTCTGCATGATTCACTGTAGCGAAGTAAGATGGTGCGATCATTTTGGACCCTGGAGGCAGAAACAGTGCGGGAGCAGAGTTGTCCTGATTTTGTTTCAAGATCACCTTACCATTTTTGTTTAGTGCAAGATTAGTTAGCTGCTAGAATTTATTCCATTTTCTAAATCACCTTTATTGTGTTGCCTATTCAATGGCAATTCGTGTAACATAAGTAACC